TGCGTCTGTATCAAATTCATGCTAAAATAATTTATTTTCCACCAAGTTTCTTAAAAGTAATTTTTCTGTAATCATACTGAAAACCAAACAGCACCAAGAAAGTCACCTATCTGACGTCAAACATAAACTATAGACACACAAAGCACAATATGTAAGCGCGTAAAAGTTACTGAAAAAACTACATACACATCCTGTTTGCTGCTAAAAACCCCATTAGACATTAACATCTATCCTCAATGAAGGCTCAAACACTATGCAACTGTAATAGAAATGCATGGCAAGAAATATGCCTCAGATAGAGTCTGCAAACTGCAAATAAAACCAGATTAGAGATGCAACTGATATTGTTCTTAAAATCCAGATATAAAATATAAACTGAGATGTTTTAACTTTATGAATAAAATAACAAACAGCTGAAAAAACTCATGTTTCAAATAAGTGTAAATACATATAATTGCACTACTGTGGAAATTCTCATGAATTCCAAAGAGTAAATGTTTTTAAAGGTACTGAGTCTGAGAAAACGTTTTGTTACAGATTCAGAGGCACAGAGAGGAAATGAGGGAGGGGTTTCCCTGTTTCCTGCTGAACTGCAAAGCGTCTCGGTGTGTGAAAGACACAAGACTAATCACTCTCATTGTGGCCTATTTCCATGGTAACCCTGCACCGAGCGGTAATTTAGCTTCACTAGCTAACGACACAGAGCGAGTCATTATCTTAGTGCCAGGCTAGGGCCTCCTATTTAAAGATTCACACCACAAATGAACAATTAGAGAACGGATTGCTGGCCTAAGTGGGGGAGAGATGGGCAAAGACAAAGAGAGAGAAAGAGAGAGAGAGGGAGAGAGCAGACAAGCCCAAAATGTGGTCACTCCTGTGTCCGTCCATTCATTTTATTCTGAAGAAATTCATTCTGACCCAGAATTTTGCTCACAAATCTTCAAAAAAGACAGAAACAACAAAACTGAGGTACAATAAATAAACAGATTTAAATTATGTGGTTCAAGTTGCAAAGTTGGCTTTTAAGTTTGCACATACATTATATCACTCTCCAATGCAGGCTTAAGTCAGGATTTTACTTTGCTTTGTTGGCCAAGTTTTGCAAAGGTTTGACTTTTTTGCAGATGACACTGTGCTTGTTTTTGCACAGGACTCTGTGCTGGCAGCTAAACTGCATCAGACCAGTTTCCTCATTAAAGCAAATTAATGTATTGAAAAGTAAAGAAGGTTTATGTCAGATGTCTTTGCACTGTGGAGTAATAATAGTATATGGTTCAATAAAGCTAGATGGAACACTTGCACCGTGAAACATTTGAATATATGATCACAGACCATTTTGAAACACAATTCCATGAAAAGTTAAAACACATAAAATAACTGAGGATAAATCTCATCTTATGTAGTTTGGTAAAAAAAGAAAAAAAGGAAATTCACTTTGCTTTGCTGCCGAAGTTTTGCAAGGTTCGACTTTTTTGCAGATGACACTGTGCTTGTTTTTGCACAGGACTCTGTGCTGGCAGCTAAACTTCATCAGACCAGTTGCCTCATTAAAGCAAAAGAATGTATTGTACAAATTATGTATATTCAGATTGTTTTACTTTGTGCAAATACTTGTAACATTATTCAGGCTGTAAAAATGTATTTAAAACAAACACAATCCCCAACCAGACATGTAGTAGATATTCAGAAATAGGCAAACTTTTTGCATCAAGTTGAAAAGAGCAGATCAACCTGGACAGGAAGTCAAGGACAAGGGAACCCAAAGAGCACCTGGTCAATTTCAGAAAATACACCTTATACAGACTGCCGATTGTAGGCTATGTCCTAGCACTTTATTAACACCAAACAGTTACCAAATGAACAGCAAATCAACCGGCTGATGCACATCTTCCTCTTAATTTATTATTATTTATCAAACCATCCTGCTTACATGGAAGAAAACTGCAAACTGCATCCTTTTGTAGGGAAGCTCGGCAAACTTCATGCTCCAATTATATTAGAAAACACACTTTATCAACTTTATTTCCTCCAGTTACAGTTCACACCCATCATTTGTCTACCATTCCTCCCTTCACCCTGAACACCCCTCAAATAAAATTAAAAAAAAAACCAACAGGAAACCCTTCAAGGTTAGTGTCTTATTCAAACCCGGCCATGTGTATGTGTGTGTGTGTGTGTGTGTGTATGTGTGTGTGTATCCATGTAACGTCTCTCTCTCCCTCACACTCTCTCTGTCAGTCCCTTTATGTGCCTCCTTCAAAAGAAGCTGTCAAGTTGTACTGTTTAAGGGCTCACAGGAGGGACAAAAAGCATACTTTTGTTTTGTTTTGTTTGCTTGCCGTGGCGTTCAGCTGAATGAGTGAGTGAGCAGGGGAGAGACTCAGGAAAGGAGAAGAGAGAGAGAGTGTGAGAGGTAGAGAGGAGTGGGGGTAACATGTAATTTACTGTTTGCCCCACTCTACTGTACATCGCTTTAGTTATGCTAATGCTGCTCTTTGTTGGGCTGAGGAGATAGCCATCAATCAGCTGTCAATTTGGTCAATTGGAAGGGAAAAAAAAAGGAAGTGGGAGAGAAAGAGAAGGCCCCTGTTGCCTCCCTCCTCGTCCTCCTCTTTTTCTCCTCTGCTACCTAGTGGACTTGGGGGTCCTGGGAAAGCCTGGCAGCTGGATCCGGATCTGGATCTGGAGTCCAGGTGTAGGGAAGGAGAAGGACGAGGGGCTTAAGGAGAATCATAGAAATAAACATGTTTTTTCTCTCTTTATGTTAAACTGTCAAAACCCTTCAGAGACTTTTTGTTTTCTCTCGGTTGTTGTTTTAAAAAATCATCTTAACAGACGGATCTGATGTTGATATGTCACCTCTGGAAACTTGCCACTCAGTCGCTGTCAGCTGAGGACCAACCCTTCATTATGCTAGCTTATGTTAGCGCTAAGATAAGCTAACAGGCCCATTAGTGCCAGTTCATTTAGCTCGTTAGCCGCAGCCTCTGGCGCTGATGACATTCATTACATATCATTAGTGCACAATTAACATGTCTCGCTCTGACACCACGGCTCGCAATGTTACACGACACTTTAAATCATGTTTTATGAAACGTTTCTGCCGGCGTGACATGATTTATGAGTTTTACATGACATGGTGTTCAGTACAGCCGTCATTAAGCCGCTCTGCTGCAGAGACAGACTCAAAGGCGGGATCCTCACTTCCTGTCCTTGAGACGCAAAATTAGGGAATTTGTTTTCGCTTTAAAATAATTATTTTTAAACTATTCAGAGTCATTGCTTTCTTGACTCTTAATCTTTCAGGAATGTAAATTTATATTCTGCAGCACCTTCCAGCATTTCAAGGTAAAATAAACTGATTCAGTTTTAGAGATTGTGTGAAAGACCTTTGGGAAAGTAAAAAACTGAGATATGCTAGATTTAGGTGAGCGTTTGGAATTTGAGTCTGTGACTTGCTTGATTAATGAACCATATGTTATCCAGAATTGCATTATAAGGCAAGGCAGGTTTATTAGGGCATCATGAAGCAATTCAAAGTGCTTTGCAGAGTTAAAACGGAACATTTAGAACATTAAAATCAGTAAAAGACATGATTACACTGATCGGTTCATATTTCAGCCTATAGTAATGTTGATGTACAGACCCAGAGCCCGCCACCTGTTCGGCTCGAGTCAAGCTGCCCACCTCCGCTAGTAATTTTTTGGTCTTTTATTTAACTATAACAGTATACCACCCTTTTCTTTAAATGCAGGATTATGCCCCGATGAAGGAGAAAAAGTAGTCTAGTCTAAAAACTATGTCATACACATTGAATGGGGGCGAATTTTCAGTTTGTGTGCAGGGAGGTGATGTTGGCGGCTGAACTTGCGATCATGACGGTGCATGTCTCAGTATTTGGGTATATCGATCGCACCAGTAGACAGAACACATCCTACTTTTTCTGTGAAAAGTAAAGATGCTTGTTATATACAGAATTTTACGTCATACATCTGAAAACTGAATATTTACTTCTTTATATTACTTGTGGCTTCGGGATATAGATTTGAGGTGATTTTATTTATCTTTGAGGGGAATGTTTTTGTTCAGGCTTATTAATAATTTTTATGAGAATCCTTAAAATTGAACCTGAATCTTGTTCGGGCAGTTTCAGTTGAAATGGACACACACACACACACACACACACACACACACACACACACACACACACACACACAGGAGTCAGCCGGCTTTCCCGGCGATGTAAACAAACTGAAGATAGGACTCTGAAAACTCTGAAAACATCACAGACAGTGGGACTCGGGTGTTACACCCATTGTAGACAGTCATGACTCACAGAGTTATTTTCAGAGGATAAACTTGATTTATATTATATTTAAGTGTGAAAAATCTCAAATAAAGATTTTAAAGTATTTCACAAAAACTGAAATTCATAGATTCACTCAGGTTTTGTTTTAGCAGTTTTTTCTTTGAAGTGTCACTTGTTTGTGTGATAGAGAACCTGAAGAAATCCTTTATATTCAAAGATCTTATAGACTGTTTACCAAGACAGTCCTTCACACACAAACACACAAACAGAGGTACAAGCAGTGCTATTCTCTTTTCCTCCCTATCACACTCGCCCACCCACTGATACACACACAGACAAACAGAGAGAGAGAGAGAGAGAGAGGTATTGATTTTGCTGTCTCCAGGCTGCCATCAGTGTGTGTGTGTGTGTGTGTGTGTGTACTTGTGTGTGCGTGTGTATAAAAAGGGATTAAGGCCTTCGCTCAGCTGAGATACCATCAGCCATCAACCCAGCGAGTCCGCTTCGGGCTTTCCCGGCTGCCGCATTGTCTATTCTGCTCCGCTATGTGAAAAATGTTGAATATCAACAATGGCTTTCAGTGGTGTATTGTTGAGTTTTTGTATGAACTAATCTTGCCTCAGTGAAAGAGACCTAGGGCTTGGACAAAACGTCTAGAGCCACAGCATTCCTAGCTGGCTCTCCCCTTGAACGCTGAGCAGAAGGCTCTGGGCTGAGGGAGGCAGAGGAGAGGGGAAGGCAAGGCTGGAGGAGAGGCAGAGGCAGGGGAGAGACTCAGGCCGGGGGATAAGAGCTGCAAGGCGGGGTGGTTAGAGGGGAAAGATGGGTCAGGAGAGGCTGCAGGTGTGAGGGCGGGGTGGGCAAATGAGAAAGGTGAGGGACAGGGGAGGTCAAGATGAAGGTGCCATAGCTAGAGGAAGAATGCTAAGCTAACATAGGGGGGTGAAGACAGGTGAGGAGAGAAGGACGATGAGGTGATAGTGGAGGAAAATAGAAGACTGGCAGTAGTTACAACAGACAAAAATATGACTTTTCCTGAACAGGAACAGGGTAACAGGCAGAGGAAAAGACTATTAACAAGCAAGGGAGATTACTAAAGCCCCTTTAAAAGTAGATCTAGTCTGAAACTGAGACAACAGAGACCAACATATAGCCAGAAATGAGCCAGCAGTAGATTCTCCTTTTCCCTCCATGGATGTACACACTGATTTGGACGTCCAATCAGACACCAGGACTGTGGGCCTTGTCATAATAACTACCATGACATCACTGCAAGGTAAGCTGGCTGACTGAATGAATGACCCCATTTAAAGTCTCTTTTTTTTTTAATATATATCCTTGTTTAATTATCATGCTTTCTCTGAATCTTTTGCTACATTTAAGGGTGTGTCCATTATGTGCAGATGTGGAGTGTGTGAGGCACAACTGTAGGAGGCCATGCAGTCTCCGCATGTCAGGTTTTTGTCTTTGTTAGCGGGGTGTTTTCATGCTGATTTATCCAGTAGTGTTGTGTCAGTGGTGCAGCTCACAGGGAGGCTTGTGTCTCCTTCCAGTCCTGCTGTGTCTGATGAGAGTCCTGCAGGTAGGAGGAGAGAAGGGGGGGAGTGGATTTTGATCCTTTTTCCTCTTTTTGCATTTGTTCCTGCTGTCACATGATTTATTTTAGACATTACCTGTAACACCAGGTTAAATGTAACAGCTTCATGTAGTATGAAGAAGAAACATTATTTATCCCCTCACAGGGGAATTAAACATTAAGTCAGGCTTATGTTTAGAAGAGAGGGACCACCACATGCCTTGCTTAAGGGCACTGCATCGGTCTTTGCAAACCATGTTTCCACACCTGAAACTTCAGTGAACATAAATGTTACCTCAGTCTCTTGTCATATGCACTTTTGCTGATATGTCCTAACTCCATGTTATGCTGTCTTTACTGTACTTCACTTTGAATTGATTTAATACCAACATAGACTATTTCAATACTTCGACCATTAAATGAGAATCAAAGTGGGACTTTTTTGGACTTTGGGTGTCTGAAAAGTAAAGACGGTTTATGTCAGATGTGGAGTAATAATAGTATATGGTTCAATAAAGCTAGATGGCACACTTACACCGTGAAACATTTGAATATATGACAACAGATCGTTTCAAAACACAATTCCATGAAAAGTTAAAACACATAAATTAACTGGGGATAAATCACATCTTATGTAGTTTGGTTAAAAAAAAGGAAATTCACTCCGGTTTTCTTTATTTACTTACACATTAACAAAAAATGTATTAAGCATCAAAGCTAAGAGATGAATTATTTTTTAGCTGCTTGTTAGTGTGCAGGACTTTTTTCTACTGATGCTTTTCCTGCATCCCCAGGATTGTGCATGTACCTCTCTTCCATTTTCTAATATTCAGCCTGCATGGGTTAGTTATGACGTGTTATTCAGCCTATTTAGGAATAAGTATTTAGGTTGTTTGGACTCATTTTCCTGCTCAGATTTGGATCCATGCTCACTCCTCCAGCCTGTGTTTTCTTCTGACTGTAGAGAGATCAATACATTTGTACTTTTTCCAAGTGTAGCATGTGGGCATGTTTTTCTTAAGAGAGACATAAAGCTCACCTAAGACTGACAGTGGTTGTACAAATAGTTCCTGATATTGTTCTCAAAGGCACCAGGGGGTCTACAGGGGTCAAACTACTCTGTGTTTGTGTGTGTGTGTGTGTATGTGTGTGCGCCTGTATGTGTGTGTGTCTGGGGTAGTTTGGGGTCAGTGCCACGGAAACCTAGAATTGAGAGATGGTTGGCTTAACCTCTTCACCCCTAATATGTTCACTCTCTCTCTCCCTCTCTCTGTCACACACACACACACACACACACACACACACACACACACACACACGGACATGTGAACATGAGTGCGGTCTAATCGGCGGCCCCTGGTGATTTGTCCTCTCAGCTTGAAGCCCTGTCACTCCTCCCCTGCTCTCCTCACAATTACAGCCCTGAACTGAACTAGAAAATCTGCTCCAATCTAGCAATTAGTCCTGAGGCCACTGGCTCTCTGCGTGTAGATGTGTGTGTGTGTGTTCATGTGTGTGTGTGCTGCTGTGTGTGTTCCATTTCTTGTGAGGACCGAACAGGAAGACTAAAGTTGTTGACAGACAAACATTTGGTCCGTTTGGTGTTCCTGCCACGTCAATATGTCATTATCAGTTTCATATATTTACCTTCTCCTAATGATTTTGTAACAGATTAGTCCTCAGACGAGATGATTGTTTGTCTCACCACGATGATTGTCTTGTGAATTTAGTCCACTTTCATTCTGCACCTCTGTTTAAAGACAATGCTGCAACTTATTGCTCTCTTTTGTTGTTGTTTTCTTGCTGTGAAATTACAAAAGCGTACATTCAAACATTTTAAGGAGTTTGTGCAATTGTCTGAAACTTTAGCTCCAATTATACCCAAAGAACAGCATCATTTACTATATGTTTTTGAAAGCATTAAAGAAAACTGTGTGGCTAATAGAGAAGGACAGAGGCTGTCTTTCCTTTGTTTTGTATGTTCTAAGTTAGTGGGTACTTGGTGTAGTTATTCAAGACAACTTTATCATTGTTAGTGATGATTGTTAATCATGTCAGAAGTAGGTCTAAGTTGTTCAATCTTCACGTTTAAGGGACACATCAGGGTTGTCTTGTCTTATCTGAGCCTCTTGTCTTCTCATATAAGTGTTACTAACATATCAACGGTGCAACAAACAAGAAGTTATATATGCAGATTCACTTCAAACATACAGTTCACTCCAAAGTTCTTCATTTTTTTGTTTGTAATTTGTAACTATTTTGTGAAAAGTCAGTTTATATCATCTGAAGTGAGAGGAAGCAGATTCTGTGATTTGGTAATTAGTAAGTATGCTGCTCCCTCTTCTTGGAATCGGTTGCAAGATACTTTAAATCTTGGGGAGCTGGTTTCCTTGAATGTTTTTTAAAGGTCGTGAAATGATCTGGAGGCAGAAATATCTGACTGTAGATGTTTGAGCTAACTCGTATTGCCCCTTTTTGATCACTTTGTTGCTGATGACTTCTGACAGATTCTGATGAATGGTTCTTTTTGTGATTCTTTTATTTATGTTCATTGTTGTTAAGTGTTTTATGTCTGAAACCCTGTAATTGTGCTGCTGCCTGTCTTGGTCAGGACGCTTCTTGTAAAAGAGATTTTTAATCTAAATGAGACTTTTTCCTGGTTAAATAAAAAATAAAAAAAGTATTTGTTTGTGAGGTCTGTTTTTTTTCACCCCTTGAAAGGACAGCATCCTGTTCAGAACTGGAAAGAAATTCAAACAATATTTAACCAAACCAAGTTAGTGCAGATAAAAGGCTGTTTCTCTTCTATGAATGCATGTTTTTTTTTTTTTTTTATGAAAATCTAAGTCTTACCTGAAATTCAAAGTTCATGTTTTGTAACTTTAACCCTAACACTCTCTGCATGCAAACTGAATCCAAACCTGAATAAAAAAACACACTTTTCTAACGCTTTTCTGAATGTTTCTTGTAAATTTAAAGATGCAAAAGGTTCCTAAGAAAATACCCAAAAATACCAATCTTAAAAATGGTATCACTGAGCAGCCCAATGTCATGTTCTAACAACATGTGACTTTCCTGGCTGTGACATGTGGTGACCATAAATCCTTTAAATAAAGAGAGTGATACACAGCCTCAGGTTCAATAGGTTTAAAGTAATCCAGAGTCCTTACAAGTGTGCCAAATCCTAATGAAAGCGCAGAGCGTGTGAGGATGAGAGGGTGAAGTGGACATGAGGGGGGGAGCATGGCGTGGTCAGAACGGGATGTGGTGTGGTGGGGGGGGGAGGAGGGGTGAGGGTCTTCATGGCCGGCGGGAGAGCAGGCCTGACTGGGCAGCGACAGAGACGCTTAGTGCCGCCTGGCTTGCTCCTAAAGACTCGGCCTCCTTCTCCCCCCCACCTCCTCCCCCCCCACCCCCAGTGTGTCTCCTCACTCTCCTCCGCCACCACTCTCTCCTTCACTTTCCTCTCTCCTCCTTTTGTTCCCTTCCCTCCTTCACCCTCCAGTTCCTTGCGCTCGCTCTCTTTTTCTACCCTCCATTTCTCTCACTTCCTTAGTCGTCGTCCCCCCCCTCCTCCCTCTTTTTCTTTCCTCGTCTGGGCCATTACAGACACTCAGTGGCGGGTATGGAGGCGAGGGTTTTGGATGAGGAGATAGAGAGAGGAGGGGGGGGGGGACAAAAGGGCCCTGAGATGCAGCGGTCCGGTGAGAGTGGCTTTCTTTGAAAAGAAGCTGGACGGCGTCTTAATGCAGCGAGCGGACGGACAGACGGAGCAGACTCAGTTCTTTATCCCCGTCCTTTAGCTGATGCCTGTTTTGGCCTCCCCCAAAAAAAAGCACATCATCCACCTTGTGCCCTTCCCTCTACGCCTGATGTTTTATCAAACACATTAAGATATGGTGGAGGGGCAAAGGGATCGCTGAAGGCCAGACACTTATGAAGCTGACGGAGAAAAGTTTTCTCATGTGGAGCGGATAGAAAAAGTGTGTGTGTGTGCATTTCTGTCAAAGGTTGCATCTCTTTTAGCGTACATTAAGACATTAGTGTGTTTGAGTTTCTGCTGTGCTGCTTTAGTTAAGGGGAAAATATTGAAAGTGAAGTTGCAGCACATTAACGGAGCTAAAAAATGTTGCTTGCAGGTTCTGTTTTATAAAACTTCTCTTCTAGATGCAGCTCAGATGATAAAGCCTCATGCAAACATGCTTAAATCTTGTTTTCAAAAATGTTCCTTCAGTCTGAAATGTAAAGGTTTTTTTTAAACTTTTATTTGGTGCCGCTAAGAAAGTAGTAAAATAATTGTACAAATCCATGACTTTAATCTTCATGACACAAAATCAAGGACAAACAACACTTTTCTTCAAAGCTTTAAACAGTAAATAGATGAGCTGAATGGATTTTCTGTCCCCCTCCCATCTCTTATCAAACTGTATTCTCCCTCCAATTACTGCAGTTTGTACTCGGCGGTATTATTTCACTCAGATGGGAGGGGGGTCCTTAAATGATATTTTCTTTAGCCCACGTTTATTTACCAGCGTCGGCTGCCTCTTTGTTGTGGGTGGTGTAAGAGTATTATTATGGATTTGGCTCTGAGAGCTTAGCTGCTCTGCCGTTCTGATATCAGCTGGACTTTGATCAAAATGCAACAAGCCTTTAAATCCACTTTAATCAGCGTCGCGTTCGTTTACCAACTTCACAGGAAG